AACGAAATGTCGAGGCTAACACGATTTAAACACGCCCGAATGCCGAGGCCGGGATAACCGCCTTCGTCGACTGCTACGAACTCGATCCCTACGAAGTCAACACAAGTGTCATTCTTGCTAAAAGAAGACGGCCGCAGCGGTCATTTGCAAAGCGGCGTAGGTTGAAACAAATCGCCGGGGCGTTTTTCGGAGATTTAGGAGCGAGCCGACGTTCAAGAAGGTACGTTTAAACTACGAGAGCGTCCGCAAGAGCCACGTAAATACCTGTTCACACCCACAGCAGACGCGCGCGTTTGATCGATTCGCGCTGTTGAACCGCGTCTTCGTAAGCGCTTCGGGACCGATCTTTTGCAATTGCAACTCGATGCTGACGTGACACTCAACAAAGGAAGGTTGGACCTGCATCCCGTAGCTCCAACGAACTCATGTAGCTCGACTGTGGTAACGTACCGTCGTGTCGGAATAAAAATGGCATACTAATAACATAGTGCACATTCCATACCTTGCGAAGGTAATCCGTACGGCGTTTATTTGAGCTCTATATCACAAAAACAACGCGAAAGAATGGATGAGAGTCCCTTTTCGACGGCAGCGTTCGTTACCACTGACTCGAAAACAAGGATTGACCTTTTAATATATATTGAGGTCAGCCATCAAACTATTCATACGAGAAGGGTCCACAAGGGACGCGCGGGCATATTTCATTCAGCAATCCAGCCGGTTGTGGGCAAAAGGTCCTGGCTAAAGACCGTTGGAGCAACGTTGCTAGCTCCTTGGAGTGCCTCCTTGCCACCCTCTAAAAAAAGCCGTGCGTCTACTTTCCCGCACAAAACTCAGAGAGCCAATCACCGCAACTTACGGATGCAGCTCAGCAAATCACGATGTTTAGACCAAAAAACGCTGTCTGAGTTGTTTCCGCATCGTCATTAGCTGAGCGGCATCCGTAAGTTGTGGTGATTGGCTCTCTGAGTGTTGTGCGGGAAAGTAGACGAACGGGCTTTTTTTTTTTAGACTACAGGCCTATATTCTGACGAGCTAGTGAGCTGGCTCTTGTCGGTCACTTGGTCGGTGGGATTGCTGCTGTTGTAGCTTTTCCCAAATGTTTGTGGATGTAGCGTTCATATCCTTTCTGGTTAGTTTGGAAAGTGCTTGGAAAATTTAATGTCCGTTAGTCATCACGACTGACGCTGTCGGCCATGTTTATTTGATCGTAAAAAAATGCCTAAGACAGAACCGGAGCTGCCGTAGGACTTCATCGCAACTTGCGCAAAACTTATGTTATATTCGTTTTGTGAATACGAATTTGTTCATACGTTTTGTCATACGCGCAGTTTTAACGATTGTTTCGTGAATCTGAGGCCAGATTCACGAAACAATCTTACGCCAAAAATGTGCTTACGACAAAACGAAAAAACAGATTCGTACTCACGAAACAAAATTATCGTAACTTTTGCGCACGTTACGATGAAAACCTACGACAGCTTCTGAGCTGTCTTACAGACTTTTTACGATGAAAAAACATGGTGACAATTACTTGGTCGTGACGACCAACTAACATATATTTCTCTACGTGCTGTTCTCGCGCGTCCGACTTGAAGCAGCAAGTAAAAAGAAAATACTTGAAACCGACCACGGCGGACATGAACGCTGGATCCATAAACGTCAGGGAAAAGCTTCAACGCAACGATCCCACCGACCAAGAGACCGCCAAGGGCTAGATCGGCGAGTTCGGCAGAATATAGACCAACCAAGGCCTATGTCCGACCTGCTCAGACGCAGCGTTGCTCCGACGGTCCCCGGCCAAGACCGTCTACCCACCATCGGCTGGCTTGCTGAATGGAATATGTCCGCGCGACCCTTATAGCCCCTTCCCGTATTAAAAGTTTGATCGGTGACCTCGATTTTAAATTAAATCGTCAATCTCTTCTTCTTGTCATACGCTTGTTTTCCGAGGCAGCGGTGACGAACGCAGTCGTCGAAAAGCGGCTGTCATCAATTCTATCCTCTTGTTTTGTGTAAAATAGAGCTCAAGTAAACGCCGTATGGATAACCTTCGCTACAACTGGCGTGTACACTGTTATTAGAATGTAATTTTTATTCCGACATGAAGGTACGTTAACACTGTCACGCTAGATCAGTTCGTGGGAGCTACGGGATGCAGGTCCAAACTTCCTTTGCCAAGTGTGACGTCAGCGTCGAGATGCAATCGGAAAAGATCGGTCCTGAAGCGTTTGCCAAGACGAGGCAAAACAGCGCGAATCCAGCACCTTGATAAAACGCGCGCGTCCGCCCCGAGTGCGATCCGGTATTTACATGGCTCTTGCTGGCAACTGTAATATTATGAAACTGGGCACGTGAGGGCGGCACTGCCGGACATAATAGAAGGCGCGCACTGCCTCGACCAGACAGTGTGTGAAACGTCCCCGTCTCGAGATGTTGTTCCTATAACTGCACTGTCCGTTCCCCGAGGAATGCGCTTTGCACAAATTATCGCAACTGGCTGACGAGCGGTAAACAACGTTCACTTCACGTTTGTGACACCAACCATGCCGGCCATCAGAACGGTAGAACCATTCGACGCGGCTACGTCAGATTGGAGCGAATACCGCGAACGCGTCGTATGTTACTTCGCGGCGAACAGCATTGCCGAGACGGAGAAGACCGCCGTGTTTTTGACGTGCTGCGGGTCAGAGACGTACTCGCTGCTGCGGAGCCTTCTCGCAAGTCTCCTTATACAATCTTGGCTGAAATTTTCGACGTCCTGAACGAGCATTACTCACCCACAGTGTCGGAGGTGGTGGCCAGCTTCAGAGTTTTTTTTTTTTCTCGGCATCGGCGAGAAGGAGAGCATGTCAGCGATTTCATCTCATCGCTAAAGAACCTTACCGATGACAGGAAGTTTGCAACATTTCGGGAGCAGATGCTACGGGATCAAATCATGAGTGGCATCAAGGACGTGATAATGCAGACCAGACTACTGGAAACAGCCGAGCTGGATTTTGAGACCGCGAGAAACGCCGTTATCGCCATTCATGGAGGCTGCTCGGAAGGACTCCCGTGCATTACGCGCCCAACGAGCTCAAGGAGCCTGGAGCATTCAATAGCTTATTAAAGGCCCTAGGTGTTTTGGAGAGCCTTCTCTTGACCCTTGTGACGCGCTTCACGCTTCTTTTTTTTTTTTTTTGTTTGGAAGATTAATTGTGATTCGTTTCAAGAACGAGAAAGAAGCGCGAAAAATATTTCATAAAAGAATCCTCCCCGTCAGGGACAGATTCACCGCCACTTTTCCTAAACTTCTCAACATCGAATTTCAGTCACCGTTCAAAAGATGGCGCAAGTGGGCGGCGTCTGCTACAACATAATTTCTTTTTAATAATTAGGGCAATTAGTACGCTTTAAAAAAAATAAATCTTGAAAAGTGGTTTTAATTGGAACTAGAAAAGCTATAATTAAAGATTCATTGTTTAAATAGCTGTCCGCGTTTCTGAAACCGGTTTCTTGCATACAGACTCGAGCTTCAAAATAGTCCGATGATGTAAAAATATTTTAAACAAATATGAATATAAATACAACCAAACCAGCCTTACAGAAAACCAGCCTAGTTCCTCTAGCATACAGTTAAAAAAGATTAGATCCGATGCTCGAATGTTATCTGAGAGAACCAAGAACGCGTGAAGGAAATTTTTTGAACATTTATCATTATCAAGTAACGTTCACAAAACAACTGCGGGCGCTACACTGCTAATATATATATATATATATATATATATATATATATATATATATATATATATATATATATATATCCCGAGTTTCTATGTTTACCAAGAGCAAGCCCTTAAATGTCGTTGCTGCGTTACAATGTGAAACTGAGTTTCGACACTTCAAAATTGCAAAAAAGAAAAGGGTACTTTTTGAATATTAAAAACATGCGAGTCTACTAACTCAGAAAAGAACGTAAATACAGAATCACCCGAGTCCTTCATATGTTGATTAAAAAAAAAAAATAAGAACCCAACTTGGATGCTATACAAGTCCTGAATCATTGAATGCGTAGAGGCATGTCTTTCAAAAAAATATCAAAACTTTCACTTTTTGTTTTCTTACTGCGCATTACGTTTTAAAAAATGGATGTCACACTCTGCACTAAGAAAGTGGTGTTGAATTGCCCATTTATTTTCAAGAAGAACGAAATACGTGGCACGCGCAGAGACGCAACATTTCCACCGCAAACAGGAGCGTTAGCACAGCTCCCACTGGTATTATGATTGGGGCCGTGAGACCGCCGCCCTTAGCCGTGTGTTGGAGACACAACCACCTCAAATGATAGTCATGCATGTTGAATGGGCTAGAAATTCACACGCAGGCGCACGCTTTAAAGTAACTGAAACTGCGTGATGAATTCATCACAGGTCAGCCCCCACTGAGACGCTGAAAGTTTCTTGAGCGTTCGAGAAATCCGCAGTGTCATCCAATCTTTTTTCGTCGACCACTTCGGCTAAGCCAACAACGACACCTTCAGCAATACGGCGAGCAAGTGTTCCAAAATTCCTGTTTTGGGCATCGGAACGCAAGCAGGAGCCCGCCAATCAAATGGCGACATACAGAACAGGTAGGGCACGCGCAATGACGAGGCAGATAAGCGCGCGCCGTCGCTGCTTGAGGTTGGGGGGAAGCAAAAGCACGTGGTCAAGTTTGAGAGGTAAACAAACGCACGAGGTGCGCAAAGAACATAAGAACTTGCAGGCGGCATAGAAAGTGCACGCTTTAGCAGTGTTACAAATCAAAATGAACTTGATTTGATTTGATTTGATTTGAACCAATCACTGTAGAAGGTAGCGATTGGCTATATGGGCGACCAGTGGACAGACACGGTTTAAAGTGCCTGAAAACCTGTGATAAATGTAAAGTTTTTCATAACGGCGCAGCCCTCATAGAGATGCTACAATATTACTTGGAGTTGGAAAAACCCGCCGTGTCTCCCGATTCCTTTCAGGTGGACCACTTCGGCTACGCCAACAACGACACCTTCAAGATGCGCTATCTGGTGGCGGATCAATACTGGGACCACGACGGGGGTGCCATCTTCTTCTACACGGGAAACGAGGCGGACATAGAGGTGTTCGCGAACAAAAGTTACAGTGTAAGGACACGCCTTCATCAATCACTAAATATTTCTTACCGCGTGGCTCGGACATTTCAGCGTTCAGGCGCTTAACCTTGCTCTGCCAAGAGTACGACCACGAAAACGAACGTCACTTGGTGTCATGTGACGCACGCTCGGTCCCCTTAGTTGTTTCGGGTCTCCGAAAGGATGAGAACGGTAGGGAGGATCGTCAGCTGTCCAACAAACAGCGCGAGCTTCCCACCTTCAACAATGCTTCGGCGCAACGTAAGCCTTGAGCGTGAGCACGCAGCAAAAGGACGGCGGAAGGCAAAAAGCGAGTGCTGACTGCCGGGCGTTCAAAAGAGACGCACTCCCGTTCCCACCCTGGGAGTGACTATGGAACGTCAACTGCATCCGATGGTCCCATGTTGCTTCTATGTGGAATACTCCACTAGTTTTAAGCATCACAAAACGTTCGCCTAATAAAACTCAAGAAGAATCATCGATAAACCACAAGCATTTAAAAGAGTGTGTGCCATGTAATTATATGAGATATATAAGAATTTACTACAAAGACATAACTCCGCTTCAAAAAATGTTTTCGTAGATTTTTTTTTTTTTTTTGTCATAGCTAAACGTGGTGTTTGGGAGGGTGCTGCTCTCGTGCGTAAGGCACAATTACACAGCGCCCTCGTCTGTGTTGCCTGAGAAGAATTTGGTGCAAAACCGTTATTCGAAGACCTTAATCAAAACAATTGTTGTCTTGAAACATGTATGCAGTGCTGCGAGGGCGTGAGGTACGGACGCCCACAATGCTGCTCTTTAGAGCACCCACTGTAAACGCAGCAACAGTCGGCCAGTTGTTTTCTGTACACGCCAGCCAAATATGTATGTACATTTCGGGACAAGAAGCATGCACATAGCAATCAAAATTTGTTAAAAACATAAATGCAGCATGTTCTCGGGGCTGAGGCACACTTCTGTCAGCAGAGGCAAAAAAAAACAAAAAAATCTGTGGAGAATAAATTGGGAGCCACTTCATGGTCCGTAACTGGAAGACCATTGAAGTTGTTTAGCACGCGACACAGACATAACACCTAATTTTCAACAAAAGTACGAACACATTTATTGTCTTGATCGGTGGTCACCATAACGAAAGGTATGCACAAGCATGTACCGCCTGCCGCCGCCGCTGACATTCTCGTTGCCGTTCCCGCCGTTGCTCTTCGTAGGTGCGTTGCTCTTCTGGAGTCCGGACTAGACGCGGCCTCCCCATTACGACGAGAGAAGAGAAGTGAAATTGAAAATGGAGAGCGGCAGCTTGCCTTTCTGTTTTTTTATATACATTCGCGGGGACGACTATCACCGCCCCGAGGAGCCGGAGGACACTAGACACGCGCAATGGGACCGCCACCCGACGGAAATTAAATAGGCGCGACGGGGCCGCCACCCCGGGAGAGCGGAAGGGAACAAGGCACGCAAGCGCTTGGAACGACGACAAAGAGAGGGCGGTGCGAGCGTAGAGTTGTTGGTCACGCACACGAAAAATTTACGGAACCCTAGCCATAAACAGCCTCGATGTAAAATGAAATATTTTGTCTAAACGCCCAGGTTTAGAAAAGTGACCTTGTGTGATTCAAACTCGGACATAAGATACGCGCCCCGTGTCACACGCGGTTGATTCTTTTATCAGTTCAATACGGTTTCCCCAAATCTGAGTAAAGGCATCAAACTTACCTGACTCCGCGCTTGTGGCACTTTAATAAACGCAGGGCGTGATGAATCTCGTGTATCATGTTATCACTCGGCAGCCAGTAAAATCCAGAGGATGAAAAAACCGCTTATCCTTAGTTTCGAATACATGAAAGGATACAACATCCAGGATGGGGGAATACTTTCATGTACTCGTATCAATTCATCAACACGCTCGTCTTCAATCATTATCTTTCGTTATGTAACCCATTATTCGGCAACTGATTCAAAATGTCGCGTGTTCCTGGCTTTATCCTTGCGGTTTTTCTAGCTTTTTGTTTAAGCTCCCACCATATTTACATGATAATATAAAACATAAAAATTCCGCTGGATGGAAAAACGCTTGGTGATCAGGGCTCCAGCTTTCCAATTTACCTTTTATTGCGAAGCGCTCTTTAAAAGTGGGCAGTTTCCGCATTCATACCTTATTGGACGGCTGCTGCTGCAAGTTGCGTTGAAAGAGTTTGCCTGTCGGATCCTGCAAGACCTTCGGAGACCATGATAAGAAACTTTCGGCAAGTCTAATACTCAGAACGTAGGTAATTTGATTTTTGTTACCTACCCGAAGTTCGAATGGTTCGGCAAATATGCAACATTTTAGCGAAGTTCGAGGAAGTTATAAATGAATTGCCAATGTCTACAGAATAGAGAAGACAACATGGACACTTCTTATCAATATAAAAAAGATCACGAATATTTTTCTTTCTTTTAAAGATTTATTTAATGTTAATCATGTCTATTTAATTTAAATCAAATTTATTTAATCTATATCAGATTGATTTTATATATATATATATATATATATATATATATATATATATATATATATATATATATATATATATATATATATATATATATATATATATATCAGATTTATGATTTCAATCAGGTCAATTTAATTTAAATCAATGTAGCTATGGAACAGTAATTGATATATTTCCAATATGGTAGAGTCGTTGATTTATCCCTCCAACCTTTGAGAACAATGAAATCAAAAATATATATAAACTTCAAATTTTAAGCACAGTTTAATTAAACTTTTTATATCGAGTAAACTCCGCCATACTAGAGCAAATATAGCTTGATTGGTTGTAGTTAGCAAAGAATGTTTATTTGCAATTTCTGTCGCGATTTGATTTTCTTCAATAGGACATTTGGTCTTGGTAGTTTTCATGCGTTCTTTTTTTTTTTTTTTTTGCATTCTTGTTTCCACGGAATAGAATGTTACGTAATTGACGAACGAAGTGTAGAATCGAAAGAAAGCTGAAAGTACCGATTTGCTCAGAAGATCATGTCGAGAGCGGTTATAACGAAGTCGGTTATAACAAAATAGAGGCTACAGCGAAGCGATCACGATTTCCCATTCCCTTTTGCACTTTGTTAACCGAGGTCGGTTATAACGAAATAGCGGATATAGCGAACCGATGTCCGATTCGTGTTGCGTTCATTTTATTCGTCTCTACTTTTTGTGCTCGTGTTCAGTCTGATATAAATCTTTTTGTGCTGTGAATTTTTTTTATTTAATTACAAAAGAAATTCATGCAAAAATTACAAAAAAAGTAACATGGTAATTCAATTATATTCGTGGGAAAGGTTAAGTTTAAATCAGCGGTCTCCAAACGTTTTGACTAGGGGGCTGGATTGCGCACCTGTTGCAGGCTCATGGGCCCGAAATTAGATGAGACAATATAAACGAATAAATAGTAACAAAAAAACCCCAAATAAGCATTTAAAAACAAAACATATATATAAACTGCAACAAAAATTAGAAAAGAAATGTAAAATGGAGAAATGCATATAGTTTATTTTTAAATGCAATAGTTCACTATTTATGTCATTACAAAATAATTTTGATCCCCGAGTACTTACCAGACATTAAATAAAAGCGCATAGGAACTTTGGCACATCCACACAGGTCTGAGGTCTAATGAAAATGACAGATCAGATCAGGTCACTATGCTTGACACACATAAGAACTCAAATGAAGGTTTTCATAGTTACGCAGACATTAAGCAGGGAATTGCGAATAGTAATTCTGGTAAAGACATTGCACAATGAATAACATGGCGAGCGAATCGGTGATTTAATGCACTTTTCTAGATATGTGCGATTAGGGTATTTTGAGTTCAAAGCGAGTAGTGATTTCGGCCAAATATATTCGAATCGAATATCAAATAGTTTTTCCAGGCTTCTCACTAACCATGCCTAAACAAAAATCCACCTGAACTTGTAAAGATTCTTCCCAAGCTTCCACTTGTCCGCATCTAAGCTAATTGTAATCTTGCCATATTAATGAACTATAACCTCATAAAGTCCACTGCCTGCGTGGGAACGGCAAGTAAACGATGCATTCAACTTCTAATTAAACATAAAGAGATGCCCAGCTGTACCTAATTGGGGGATGTATAAATCGTCTTGCTATATCGAAATATGCTTTATTAAATCTAGAATTTAGGAAACTAAAAAAGACAACCATGAATAATGAACGTAGGTTTTCGGAACATGTCTGCCTAACATACTTTTGCATGATAGCCGAAGTTTGATTTTAAAAATTTCTCTGCAGCGTAGATTTCGACATTCGCAAAGTTTGCTTCTGTTTACATGTATACACCACGTGCGCGCGTGCACCATCTCGATTTGAAAAAGGGGTTCCTCTGAAGAATGTGACTGCCATATTTGTACTTTTCGAAGTGTTGACGTGGTGGTGTTAGCCCTGTTGAGCGGGCTTGTTACTGAGCAGCGGTGCAGTGCAGAAAAGGAATACATCTTCGCAGAGCACCGCAGAGCACCACTTCGAAAAATGCGAATATCACAGTCCATCTTGTTGCGAATATTGAATAGCGTATTATTCGAAACTACTATTCGAAATTTTGAATATTCACACTAAAATATAATTTTCTAACATTCCTTCTGATGACTTTGTGTCTTCGAAACGTGTCGCAATGCCAATTTTCTTTTTTTTTTTTTTTTTTTTTTTTTTTTTTGCGCGCGCGTTTATTTTTGTGCTGGTAGCAGCGGGCCAAGTGCCGGTCGTCACTGGATTAGCTGCGTTCATCCGCGGAACGGCGGGAAAACCTCCGCGGTTCGAATGTGGCCCGCGGTCCGGGGTTTGCAGACCCCTGGTTTTAATTCCAGTGAAACCGATATGATTTAAATCACAAATTCAATCAACTTTATTTTTATTCTCCACCCTACTTTTTATGTTGGCGTTCAGTGAATCTTGGAAGTTTTAGCAAATTTTGACTAAGTTCGACTTAATAACAGTGCTGCCCGACTTCTACAAAAGCCATTTCAAATTTTGGGTAGAAAATAATTTATAAAGCAGTTTTTATTATAGTTTCCATAGTTTACAGTGTTTTTAGAATAAAAAAGTAACATTATTCTTTTAATTCTGTAGTTCGTTTTTTTCGGTCGCCTCGATGTCTACAGAATAAAAAAAAAGCCTTGACGTCTTCGGGGAAAAACGCCGGTCTTCGGATCCCCAAGTGCCGGGTTCGGATCCCGGCCTACGTGCACGCCGTCTGACCGAGGCTTATTGCGCAGAAGGCGTCGTGTAACCGAGACTTCGGTTACACGTCAGAGGATCTCCCGGAAGTCAGAATTAATCCTCAGACCACCGTTGGGGCGCGTCAGGTGCCCTTCGTTGGTTTGGCGTGTGAAAAAAAAAGCCGAATTGGAAGGTAGAATATTTTTGTAAAACAAAACCGTGTAGTCAGTTATTTTTTTTTCCGCCAGGCGGCATCAGTTTGATTTCAATATTCGCGCATGCGCATGGAAGTCTAACTTTGGACGAACCTCGTTGTTAGAACTTTGAAAAAGTAGGAACTAGTGGAACTCGAACCAGGGCAGGCTCGCCTCATCCCTAGGTGCGATGTCCAAGATCGCGTGAAATATTCCGTGGAACGACGGGCAAAAACTGAATATACCGGTTCACATGTGAGACTTGGGTACAGATCAGAGGTCTGGAACATCCGGTCTGCGACTCTATAGGACGCGGCACGCAAGTATCCCGCTGCCGCAAGCCCTCGTTCCCATGCCTTGAGCGACGAAATCCGTCATAATAATGGTTTTATATCGACGATTCATTTCCAATCGAAAAAGGGTGCTGCTCACATGGCATGTTCAGGCATTTTGCACTAATGTGTGTGTGTGTTTTTTGTTGTTGTTGTTTTTTTTTTGGGGGGGGGGGGACGGGGGCGGGGTACTTTTTTGTCTAAATATTTGCTTCTCAGCCCTTCCTCATGTAAATCAATCGAAATGGCAATACCACTAATAGGCTACAAGCACGAGCTCTTTGCTCAAGGAGGCACCTCGGCTGCAAAAACTCTGCTCAGCAGGAACAACTGCCAAAAAAATAAAGCTTTGAGTTCGGGCTTCTAGCTGTTGGAAAATATCTTTAAATTTAAGTTATTCTCTTATAACGGTGTTATAAAAATCGTCAGGAAAAAAAACATCTGCCGTATGAAGATATCTTTTCTTTCTTTCATTGCCTGGGAGTAAATTGTGCTACAGGGCAAGGATGCTGTGCTTGCTCCCTTTCTTTTGAAAACTGTCAGTACTGGTGTGGGGGTGCTTTAAATCTTCTTATGACATCAGCTGTGGGCCCGGAGTAGTCGGATATGCAAATCAAAAGCTAAAGATGGCAAGAAGATGCGCTTACAAAAAGCAGACGAAAGCACAAGGTTCCTTGTCTCGAAAGACCCTGGGGTGTCACTGGAACAGTGAGCGATGCTTTCCAACGTGAAACAGTCATGCTGTTGTTTATTTATTTATTTATTGTACTTTTCCGGTGCCCCTAAACAGCCCATAGGCCTACATAAGGGTGCACCGTTGACACCTACATGCAGTTTTGCATAAAAAAGATGCACGCAAACGCATACATAATTTGAACAAACAAAAACGTGAAATATAAATGTAAATGAGAAAAGTGCATAAAGTTGAAAACAACACTGTTTGCCAAAAAGACTGATACAAGGGGGCGTCACATTATAAAAGCACTAGCAGAGACCGCAAACTAAAACTTTCCCGCAAAAAGATGTCTACTTCAGGCGTGTTTGCGACATTTGACATGTTAAAATTATACTGAATACGCTCAATGGGTCTTAAGCTTTTTGGATCAGAGGAACCGAAAACACGATGGGAGCGTAGAGACCTGCCAGGTACAGCAATGAGTACGGATGAGGTTAGCTTGGGGCAATCTATGAAACCGTGAAGACATTTGTGTAAAAATAAAAAGTCTCGTGCCTGCCTCCTTTCGGAGAGGCAATGCAGGTTTAAAATCTTCAACAATCGCTCATGGCTGAAATAAATTCGCCTGTTAAAATAACGATCGTAAAGTAGTCGAACAAACTTCTTCTGTACATTTTCAAGTTCATTCGCGTTTGTCTGGTTTAAACGATTCCAAACAACGCTAGAGAAATCCAGTTTAGACAGGATGAGGGATCGGTACAAATGCAAAAAGCAAGAATATCCTCTAAAGTTTCGAGTCATTCTGGTAATTGCGCCCAAAGTACGGTAACATGTATTGCTCAAGTATGCCACATGATCAGAGAATTTAAATTCACTGTCCAAGAAAACTCCTAGATCACGTACAACTGAGACGCGCTCAATCGAGCACTTGTTCAAAGTGTAGTCAAAGGTGTTAAAGAAATGTTTTCTCGAAAAAGATATGACTTTTGTTTTAGCAGGGTTGAGAACCAACTTGTTGTCCTTGCACCAGTCTGCCAATGCTGTAATATCTTGCTGTAGTTTGTTGCACTCAGAAATGTCCACAATAGCTCGGAAAAGCTTAACGTCATCGGCAAATTGTAACATCTCCGAGTGATTTATGCATGAGCAAATATCGTTCACGAAGATGTTGAAAAGCAGAGGCGATAGGCTAGAACCCTGCGGGACTCCCGATTTGGAGAGGTACGCGGTTGATTGTGCACCACCGTATGAAACAGAATTCCATCTGTCATGCAGATAGCTCCGAATCCATTCGCAAAGTGGTAAGGAGATACCATAGGATGCAAGTTTCTTAACTAGCATTGAATGGCTCACAAGGTCAAATGCTTTTTTAAAATCAAAGTAAATTGCGTCGACCTGCTGCTTCGACCCTAGTTTGGCACCCACAAATTCCGTAAACGCTATTAAGTTTGTTTCCACAGAACGATTTGGCATAAAACCATGTTGTTGCACGTTTATACGTCTGGAAAAAAAAATGCATGATATGACAATGCATGGCCTTTTCGAACACCTTGGCAAACGAACAGATCAGTGAAATTGGACGATAATTAGTGACAGTCAGTGCCGACCCATCTTTGAATATTGGCACAACTAGAGAGTACTTCCATGCAGTTGGAAAAAGCCTATCTTTCAACGACCGATTAAATAAAAAAGTTAAAATCGGAGTTAACACGTCACCGCACCCTTTCACTATAAACAAAGGAATTCCGTCGGCTCCAGCCGATTTCTTAGGTGGTAACGCCCGAATCGCCGCAAAAACGTCGTCAATGCTGAGCTCGGGAATTGATAAGTATGCGTTTTCCTGGTCTGGCAGTGTGCAAGTTTGAGACGTATTTCCCGTGGAATCAAAAACACCAGAAAAGAAATCTGCAAACGCTTGACAGACGTCGCTCGGACTGCTGATATGTTCCGAACCGTTAGATAGTGTTATCTTCTGTGCCGTTTTCTTTTTATTCGAGAAGTTCCTGGTATACTTCCAAAGACTTTGTGGATTTTGCTTTAGGCTTGATTCAACACTTTGAGTGTGGCTTCGGAGGTCCCGACGATAAAGACGCTTCGCTAAAGCTCGCTCCGACTTGAACTTTTCGTACCAGAACAGATTATTAGTCAGCTTGTAATGTCTGTGATAACGTAGCTTTTTCCTCATTGTATGTTTCAATTCGTGGGAAAACCAAAAAGGGTAGTGATTTGTGACACCATGTACGTAAGCCGGAATGAACATCTTCATAGCTGATGTCACTAGGTCTGTAAGCATTAGTACTTGTTTATCTACGTCATCTTTACCTGATGTAATGACTGACCAATCTGTGTTCGCAAGAAACTCGTAAAGCTCCAGGTAATTCCCCTTTGCATAAGAAAAAGCAGTCGCTTGCGGACATGCTGTACCTTGGTTATCAGCTATACTCAAATCTACTTCAAACGGGACATGCCAGGTGTCAACAGGGACAAGTGGGGCGCTAGCTTGTTGTAGTATACATTCGTTATTATTTGTAAGGAACAAATCCAACTTTGTCCCCAGAAAAAAAAACATATTGATCACCCCCCCCCCCCCCTTGCCGTAGGCCCTTATCCTTTCCAGTATTGGCTATATATGGCCCACACACTCAAATGAGTTTTGAGACCCCTGGTAGAGATCATTCAAATTTCTCTTTTCAGGGCTTGATGTGGGAATGGGCCCCGGAATTCAAGGCCCTCTTGATTTTCGCTGAACATCGCTACTACGGAAAGTCCATGCCGTACGGAAACGAATCCTTCAAGGTAGACGATCCAGTTAGGAACTGATAACAAAGAGAAAGAATAAAAAAAAAAGAACTGCTCCTTTTTTTAAGTATTTAAATGCAAGGAATACAGTATTCGAGGAGCGACCGTTCGAATTTGTTTAAAAGACACCGAACAGGTGTTTCGGAGAGTGGGGAACATTGTTTATTCCTTTTCCCGTTAAATTTAACAAGGAAAGTTCATCACGTAAATTGACCTCACGTGAAAGTCCCACGCAAACTATAGCAGAAACAATTTACCACCCGAAGATATCACGGGAACCTTTCTCGCTACATTTAGCATGAAAAATCAACGTCACGTGATCTGACATCAAAGGGACAACCGTGTCCGCGAATTCATGACGTCAAGTGATGTTGGAACGCAATGTGACATCACGTGATGCCAATTTTTTTCCTCCATACAGCGCGAATTTTTTCTCCCTGACGTCGGGTCCTCTACTATCCTTTTTCCCATTCAATTTAGCGGGGAAATCGACATCTCGCGACGTGGTCACATGACCCGACCCAACTTCACGGCATCAAGTCAGGGTGTCCCGTGGTACAATGACGTCTTTCGTGACATGAGTCACGTGGAACCAATTTTCCCGCCAGATTTAGCGAAGAAAAGCACGGGCCAACGAACGTACAAAAATCTAGGATTAAAGGGTTCAATGAAAAAGCGTTTGATGCTTTAAAACGACCAGATGAAAGGTTTAAATTACGATCAATCTTTTACGTAGGGTCCGAGTCGCCATGGATACCTCACGTCAGAACAAGCCCTTGCGGATTACGCGGATCTGTTGATGCACTTCAAGGCACATGTCCCAGGAGCTGGGGACAGCAAAGTGGTTTCCTTCGGAGGATCCTATGGAGGCATGCTGGCAGCGTGGTTTCGTCTCAAATATCCCCACGTGACCACGGCGTAAGTTTGAGCTGCTTCATCACCCAAGTTATACGTACTTCCGGTGATGGGTTTTATTTAAAAAATGGAAGTTCTTAGAAAATAATAAATAAGTTTACTCGCGATTCCACACGAGAATGCTCTCTTCCGTGCTCTTCTAACGACTATTCTGTTTAACACAGACACCTTGGAGCCTTGACTGCGTTTCCGACTATTGTTTACCGCATCCTCAAAAAAGGTCCCTCGACTTTGTTCTTGTGTTATGAATTTAGCGGCTATTCATTGAGAGTCATAGCAGGAGTGACGTACAATTCTAAAATATAAAAAAGAATGGCATGCCCACACCAGCGGTCTAAGAAAATATATAAAAAAGCAACATGGAGACAAAAGCAATCTAATTACTAATATCGTTAATAGCAATAGTAAATTTGTCAATTGATGAAAGTGTTACTATTTCATTATCTATTCTATAGCAAATAGCATTCTTGTATCACCCAACGACGCCATAGAGATGCCACGCTATCGCCTGTCGCGATCCTGAAAGTGGCACAGCAGCAAAGGGGGACGTTGCTGACGTCTGTTCCGCCGCAGGTCGCTCTGCAGTCAGGCGGTCGGTGGAAACCAAAGTGGACACGAGTTGGAACGCCGCGACGACAGCGCACCCTCGCGTCCGCTCGCCTTATTTTCGCCAGCGATTCTACCATTAACCGCCAGGATCGCGACATCTGACACCATGGCAGGCCGGCGACTGCGACGCAACTGGTTGCCACTCCGCCAGGACAGATACGAATTCAAGCATACCGGTCGAAGGCGCGCTCCAAGCACCCTAGGTTTACACACTGGCACTGCCAACGATTTGTTGCCGAAAAAAGAACTGAGGTCTATAGCTGCCGTGTCGTATGATTTTCATACAGCTAGCTTATTTCAGACATTCCGAGTTATAAACGTGCATACATTAAATGGTTATAGGCTTAGCACTATTCTCAAAGTGGAGCAACTTAAAGAGACATTTTTTTTTAATAGATCTTGGACGCTTATCAAGACATGATTATAGTTACCCTACCCGTGGTGCTGAATGTTAGGAGGTGGCTACACCAAGAATAAACTATGGCAAACAAATGCTTAAATACACTATCCCGAATCTACTAAATTTGTATGTGGCTAAAAGTATGGATTGGGATAAGTTATCCCTAAGTGAAGTCATCCCTTTTCTCCAGCAGCTAGAGGTAGTTGCCTTTCTTTGTAGTCTTTGTGCCTAGTTTTTGTAAGATTTTATCTCTGCTATCCGTTATGCCTCAATGTAAAAAGGAAAAACCTAAAATGTGTTCTTAAAATGTAGTGATAGCGACAATCTTTGTACAATATTTTGTTTTCTCTTGATTACTGTTTTCCCGGCTCTGTTGCTGCTTTCTGTAGGTGGTCAAGGACCCGTCACCCTTTACCTGACAGCATTTTTCCCTGATCGCCCACCATATTATGGTGGAAATAAACATCATTATTATTATTATTTGTCGGAAGGTCTTTACGCACCGAATTCAATTCTTCACTACAGTGCCCTGGCATCAAGCGCGCCCATACTGCAGTTTACGGGGATGACGCCCTGCAACGCCTTCAGCGAAGTGGTGACGAAGGCCTTCGCCAAAGAATCGAACCAATGCACTAATGCGATCCGAACATCTTTCGAACTCATAAGGAAGCAAGCGGCGACAGGTACGATTCTGTATCTTTTTTTTTCCTTTTTTTTTTTATCAAGACGGTGGACAACAGGCGTGCATCATCTTGACACAAGCCCCTTTTAAACGCCGCTCGCTCTTCGCCTCTGGCAGAGAGAAACGCTAAACATGCGGCAGACAGGAAAGTTTGAGCCGGAGTCGCACCGCTCGTACAAAAGACGCGGGTGTTTACAGCAGACACGATGAAAGTATGGCATCTGCGAACATGCCTGAAGCGTGTTCGAAGAACGTTTTCTTCGTTCGTATGTACGCTGCTTGAAACATGTCTGCAGGCAGTTCTCGCACAGTGTGACATTACTGATAACCAAGGAAGAAGCACACCCGAGAGTCTCTGCAGACTCTCTTGTGTACGATGTACTATTAGTGGCGCGACGGTGGCTTTAGGTTTTCATTTGTAACCTCCGTATGGTATCATCATTTCCCACGACCAAATCGAATGCGTCACTTAGACTCGCTTTAATGGTAAATTAATGCCGCAGCTAGCGCACCTATTTGTCGTAATGTCTCCATTTTTCCCGCTCGACCACGTTTTCGGAAACAGAGGAAGGTGCCAAGGCTCTGAAAAAACAGTTCCGTCTGTGTAAGCCGCTCGCCCCCAGCAACGACACGGTGCTCAGGGACTGGATCAGGAACGTCTTTGCCTACCTCGCCATGGTGAACTATCCGTACGCCAGCAAGCTAACCCTGCCAGCTCCTGGACACCCCGTCAAGGTAACGGCGGCGAACCACTTTCCAGCAATTACAGTCCCCGCCGGTACAAAAGACGCCCTTGGAGCGTTCATCCGAGACACCATAGGGTGCCTTCATGTGCGCAGTCAATGGCCACGCTGCTCTCGCTCGCGGCAATGTAACCTCTTCAAAAGTGCGCGACGTCTATATTTTGTTTCACCGTAACTTGCCAAAGGCCAAACTCTACGGCCCTTTCGAGCCAAACGCAGCGACGGAGGCGAACCACGTAACAGCCCTTGCCAAAGGTACAAGGGCGAGGGCGTAACCTAACCAGTTGGAAAGAGGGACTCCCCTCTTACGCCAAAGCTTCGGCTCAATGATGTCCGGATGGAGCTAACCTTGGACCTACAGTAAAAGATCAATCGATCGCCATCATCATGTCGGCCAATAAGCAGCACAGCTGACGCTGTCTTAACGGGTCATGTCGCGTGATCATCGATCAATTTTTGGGGGGACGGATGCGATTGCTTTCACTATCCTGCTTTCCTAACTTGCCTATCACTAATCTACACGTGTGCGTTTTTCTCACCGCCGAAGGAAGCGTGCAAGTTTCTCAAAAAGAACTTCACGGACGTCCAGTCGCTTCTCGATGGAATTTACCGGGCCATCAGCGTGCTCACGAATTACACTGGCAAAATCCACTGCAACGATCTGTCCGACAATGCCGGAACACCGGGCATCCACGGTTGGGACGTCCAGGTACTACATAGCTTTCCTAGCCCAAAGGTGGGGTGGGGCTAGTCAAACTAGTAGACAATTATAATACAAACTGTGTTTGGTTTTAGTAATAAAAAAACTTCAGACTCTCCCTACAAGCCACGCCAAAAAAATCACGCCTCGACTCCCCAATCGTCACCTATGCGCAATTTATGAATTTTTCCTGGGAAGCTTTTCCATCTGGGCTCCGCCGCTTCATATTAAAAATATAAACAAATAGAGGAAATGGAGGAGCTTTGGCCTTGCTGAAGTATGTTTTGAAGGTTGGGTTCAGTTTAAAAAAATTGGGCCACAAATGTTTTGTTTGGGCAGTTTCTAGTACTTGGCTCATCGTCTCATGTGGGTACATGCTAAGAATGAAGGAAACTTCAGACAAAGCATGCGTTTTAATGTGGGCAGAGAAATTATCTCACATCAGTGGTGCTAAAAAGAAGAATCTGCAGTCAACTAACTATCTGTTTCAACTGTTCTTAGCCTCTAGGTAAAAAGTGATGCTCCACTTGGGAAATGGAAATATAAATTCTTCCCGGCAAGAAATGTGAATAATCATTGCATTCCTGTCTATACCTTCTTTTTATCGATTGTTAACACATCTACTTGGGTATACCAAAAGGTTTTCACACCACTGATATGTAAAATAATAGCTTAAGTCATTTGTGCATGTCGAAAAAAATATTATAAACGATTATGTATATTCAATCCTTCATTCCAAGAGGGCACAGGCTTGGGCATTGAATGTCAGAACGAACAGGGTAAAGCAAGTAAGGATGTGGATCAGCAACAGAAACCTAACCTCCCAAAAAATGAAGTACACATAAAAAATAATAAACTTAAAAATAGAGGCGATTGGCACACACACCTTATGCCTACTTTTTCAGTCGTGCAACGAAATGGTCATGCCAAAGTGCACCAACGGGAAAACAGACATGTTTTTCGACCGTCCCTGGATCATTGAGGATGTCACAGCATACTGTGAGAATAAGTTCGGTCTCACTCCCGATGTCCACAAGGCGGCACTCTTATACGGAGGAAAGAACATCGCAGCAGCTTCAAACATCATATTCAGGTAAACACACTTGAAAGTGAAGGTCGCACAACCCGAAACCTTGCAATTGTCAAAGAAACTGGCGAGTTTTCACTAGAGTAGTTTACAAAAGAGCCCGAGTACTTCCTCACATGCAACCCTGCGACAAAACCTCACAAAATTCAAAGCGATTGCAGCAAAACAATGTGCTTCATCCCTTGTAATTCAAACAATGCGGAGCGCAAGTATATCTGCTTCTTCTGCAGGAGTTCTGGCGACGTCAGAAGGCCGAGCTATGAATAAAGAATAGTGGGTAGACCTCAAAGCAAGCTGCCACGAGGTCTATTCACTATCCTTCAATCAGAACCAATCAAAGCTCAGCATTCTGACCTCACCACAACTTCCGCCAAAAAGCACAGAAACTTGCGCTTTGCATTAAACTACACTTGTTGACCACACTTATCACTAGCCTTCTATAGTCTCTGCAATTTTTTTTTAATAACCAGCTGCTGAAAGGTTAATGAAGTGCTTTGCATACAAGGGTAAACCTCCCAGTGCTAGCACATGTTTCCTCGATCACCATTTCGGCTGAAAAACAATGATTGATAGGCTCCCGACAATGACAAATTTAGATGTTTGTGACGGTCATCGACTATACCACAGACAAGTCTTCACGACTTGGGCTGACTCGTATATAGTCCGTACCGCAATTATAGAACAATTATTTACAGTGATGGAAGTGGCATTTGGCTTTTTGTAGCAGGTTGTGTACAAGCAAAACATTGCTTTGAGCAGCCACTAAGGCTTTTGGAGCATTCTGTTGGCCCATCATTTGAGGATGAAAACGTGATTGCATCTCTAAATCAGTTCATTTATGATAGTGATCAAGGGTTCCTTTTTGATAGTCGAGCATATTACTTATAACCGTTTGTGATAAGACTAGATTGAAAAAAAAACACAGAACGGATAATAAAATGGTTGAAAAGTGAATCAGAGTGTAACACTTTAGGTAAAATACTCTCACCCCTCCCTATCTCACACTCGATAGTTAGTTTAGCCTGTAAATATAATTTCTGCAAAATGCAAGCAAGAACCAGCAGATCCGCTAACACGTCCACCAATAAAAATACATCCCGTAAGTCTATTGAACGTACTAAACTACCTCTTAATATCATAAACTGCAAAAATCAACACCCAAAAATATTATAAAAGCCTACACTTGTGTTTTAAATGTGACACTGCTTTTTGGCAGCGTAGGAACCGGAGTCCTATCAAATTTCGCTGCTCTGTCGATCGACATCCGCACGGGACCTACCGTGACTACCGCATTTATTCAAATACATCTAAACCCGTGTTTTCGTCCCGCTCTCTCTTTGACTGATCATTTATTTTTTTAATAGAGCGCAGTTTCTAGACGCTCCTTCCCGTGTTTTGTGGCATTGCCACCGGCGTAACCGCGCGCGTTGCATTATGGGACCTCACAGACCTATACACCAATTCAATTCCCCGCTAAATTTAGCAAAGAAACTGAATTAGTGTGTAGTCTCTGGCGTCCCATAATGCAACAGTGCGCATTCAGTTTCCCCGCTAAATTAAGCGGCAAAACTTACGTCCCATGACATCAACACCAAACCGAAGCGGGGAATTGAATTGATGTTGAAGTCACGTGACGTAAATTTTCCCGCTAAATCTAGCAGAGAAACTGAATGTGTTCATAGGTAACGTGACACGGAGCGATTGGACGTAATGTTCCAAGCTAAATTTAGCGGAGAAACTCAATTGGTATTGAAGTCACGTGGCGTCAAGTTTCCAGCTAATTTTAGCGGGGAAACTATCGGAGGAGGGGAGGGTATAAAAGAGGACGAGAAGGAGAAGGAGGGGTCCTTTGTACCCTCCTCTTCTCATCCTTATATAATTAAGATTGTAGTAAACATATTAATTTATATATTTATTATATAAATATAATATATATACATATATATATGTCTCTGTGTGTGTGTGTGTGTGTGTGTGTTTGTGTGTGTGTGTGTGTGTGCGCGTGTGTGATCTATATTATGCACGTAGGACTATAAGGTCTATATTCGTACATACCTTAAAATACCGCAAAAACACCCATCTAGTTCAAGCGCCCACTATCGTATTTACTCGCATAATAAACGCAGCCCTATAACGCGTACCAATATTTATATTCTTTTCTTTTTCCTAGCGTCGTGAACGCACTTCCGATTTTCGGCTCCGCGAGTCTCGAACTGCGTCCAACTTAATTAGCCACCAAGCCAAACAAGCCGATTCTCTTCTGCCGAGAAGCAGTCAGGCCAAGTCGAGATAAGCCAAGCCACTCCCGTAATGGCTGCAAGTGCGTAGTTGCGGAAGTGATCAATCGTGAAACCGAGCGGCGCGCATACTTGAAGAAGCTTGGGTCCAGGAACTGCCCAGCCCCGGACGTTCTTTCCCTATTGGATGCACTGATGCCAACAAACACGCCGTCGTCTGTGGTCGGCTTTCGGAAAGTGAAATCGTGAAAGTGGTTAGGCCTAAAAATGGTCTCGTCGGTCTCCGAGCTTAGTGAGCTTCGCAGCGAGCTTTTCCTTTGGCACAAGACAAGCCGAAAGATCCCTAAAAAGGCTCGCAATTTATAATGCATGGTTGCTGTGGCACGCCCACGAGCAGCCGAGGGTGCGCCTCTGTCAGTGGAGGCATGCCACAGTATCCTGCCGTGTCACATTGGCACCTAATATGGCGTTTGCACGAAGTGTGTAAATGCAAAAAGTTTTCCCCGCGTAATGCGCGCGCCCCCAAATATGTCAATTTTTTGGGCAAGACAAGGTTGTTCATTATGCAAGTAAATAGACAATTAACATTTAGAAAAATAGTGAATTATGAAAATTACACATTAAACACCCGATTTGCCCGGACAAGCGCCCATGTCGACATTAATGAAGTTATCAGTGAAGGAAGAGGGGGGGGGGGGGGGGGGGGGGCGCCACCGGTATTTTATGGAATATATATTTTTCCTCAAATTTTTAGCACGGCATATTGCAAAATCAAAATACCTCAAGAGCTGCGCTCTAATTTCGCACTACAGGGATTTGTAACCGTTTTTTTTTATTTTTTTAATTAGAGATTGATTTACAATTTAGACAAAGAGGATTTACATGTAATAATCTGAGCATAATTTGCGCTAAGCCAGGCGCTCCCGCAGGTTAGCCGCCGCTCCTAGCACTCCGGTGCAAACCGTTGAAGCTCGACACGTGCTTGCTGGTGGGAGGCAGTGAAGGCTAACGCGGGCGGCACAAGTGCCACGGTACTCTGCAGCCACGGAACGAACGCGTGTGGCAAACACGATGATTAAGTCATCTTATCAGGACTATAAGACCCTGGATCTGTTTTATCACAAAAGCAGGGATCGGCAATCCTACAGTTTTGCGAAGTTTTGTTAGGTTCCTGATATCGACGACGAGGTCTGTAAATTTAGACGACGTCGGCGATCAACCAGCCAGCGCTTCAACCGGCCAGAGCAGTTGATGCCCAGCATCTTCCGTTTCACTTTCCGGAATACTATGGTCAACAAATAATAGAATATCTTTATTTATTTATTTTTTTGCTTGAAGCCCTGCACAGCGCAGGTTTCGCGCAATTCGTAGCAAAAATGGATTTTGGCGTACTTTCGTTCATGACGTAATTTGCAGACTTTCGTTCGTGACGTAATTTGGCGTAAATGGCGCAGCACTTTCATCACTGTTGTTACTGCACAAAAAAAAAGCTTCCATTGTCAGAAATCACCATTAAAGTAGTCTGTCATTCGCAAAATTCTTCAGGTCTTGAAGAAAAAACAATCCCTGTACACTTCAGGCTTGCAGAAAGTCTGCACCGCGTAAATTCCAAACTTTTTGGCATGCATAAACTCCGGAGTATGTGGCGTAATATATGGTACATTTGCTTTCCTTACTGCATTCCGTGTCGCACCTGCATTGCAGCAATGGTGACCTGGACCCCTGGTCTGGTGGTGGAGTGCTGACAAACCTGTCGGACAGCCTGATCGCCCTATACATAACGGAAGCAGCACACCACCTTGACCTGCGGTCTTCTAATCCGGCCGACCCCGAGTCGGTTGTCGCCGCCAGGAAGGTGGAGAAAATGTACATCAAGAAGTGGCTCCGCGAAGCACAGGCATCTGCCTAGGCAGCTTTGGAGGCCATTAGCGCTCAGAAAAGAAGGCAGAAGCGATGACGGCTAGTGTTCATGTGTTCAGCCCCGTCGTTCACACCACACAAACAATTCTGCACATTAGGGACGCTTCAATATCAGAGGCACATTGAAATAACAATAAAAGTTTCTTTTGACAGACCGGTCTGCTAGAAAACAAAATCTAATTTGAAATTATTCTTGATTGCACGGTGATCAACCTCAGTTAGAGGCTTCTAGTTACCCTCGACCCATGAAAACATGAGAATATATTTGTAAACTCGGACTGCAATAGAGGAATGGAGCATCGTCTAACAAGACACCAGGTTAACACGCTGCTAAAATGTTTTCGTACGTTTTGCTTGCTCTTCGGTACTAATTTACGCACACTGTATACTCTAATGACGTCGCTTGCGCCCATGCCTGTGCACAGAAATGTTCCTAAAGTGAAAAATTATTGGTGTGTGTAGTTGTGTAATAATGTTAGCATTCCGAGTCAGACATCATTATTCTCACATAGACTGTCTCATCGCGTACATCGAGGAGAGCAGGAACTATCGCAGCATGATCGCAACCTTATATACTAAAACAAATTGTAAAGTGTCTGTGTGGTTTTAGAACTTGCAATTGCGCTAGTTTGTGAACTATATGAAGCATGGTGCTAGGCGGAGAAAAAAAAATGAACACAAGGAAGGCACACACACGGACACCTATCTGTGTGTCTTCCGTGAGTCATGTTTCTTGCACCTTGCACCGTGCTTCATTTGTGTGGTTATTTACGAAACGGGACCAATGTTTTGTACTCTGCCCGCCAAGTTTGTTGCCGGCGTCGTGCTTATGATAAAAGCTATGCTTCCGAAACAACTCCACTATATCTGAATCAATTGCACTGTTGATGAACGACCATACACTGGAGTCGAGTATATACTGGTAGTACCACCAGATACTAGACATTAACACAAAACAAGCGGGTACAGCTATCTTTAAAATTTTTATTAGGTCAAAGTCATAAAAAGTTGACCCATTATCAATGTTGTGAACGCTACATATTCAACTTAGTTCAGGCAAGACATCTGTTAGGGCATTCAATGGGCATTTAAAGCTACAAACCTAGTCCTGTATGTCACCATCGCTGTCGAACACCGCATTCTCATCCTTCATCCAATTGCCGTCGGAATTCAGTTTCCAGCCTGACCTGAGAGGAGAAAACTGTGTTTTGTTAACCAAATAAAAATATGAAACCATATTTTTGAGAATCTTTCCTTAAAAACATATTCAAGGAACACTAAGAGCTTAAAGATGAAAAACAATCGGAACTGCAGTACCTGACACTGGTCAGGTTAGTTATTTTTATATATATATATTGCTAATGAAACTTGACTGCTGACAAATGCAGAAGAGTTCTTTTACGTAGAGCTCTAATAAATGGACCTCCCTAGATCAGCACAACCTTTAAAACTGTCTATATGATCCTCGAAGTCTTCGAAGTTGTCTTTTTTACCTTCTGATAAGTGGAACATCTAACACATAGAACAGTTTTATCTTATCCCTTGAAAATCCGCTTCAAAAAACATTCTACTGTGGTTAAATCTATGGTAAGCAAACATTGTCTTGCTGCACAATCTTGTTAAACGTGCAGATCCTGGGAACAGAATATCCAAGTTGACAGATTCCACTGTTTGCAAGGCATTCAGCCGTCGACGATATCAAATATAGCTTTACGCCAGCCATACTTGTCAATCTAAACACTGCGTATTTCTGAAAACGTGGGCACAGGCCGCCAATGTGAACTGCACAACTTTAGTTTACCATCCTAAGCCTGGCCTCAAGCCCGGAACAAAAAAGCTGATAGTGAACAAACGACCGTGATATACTGTGCGTGTGAGCATGTCGCTATAAGCACCCACCACCTACTTTTGAAACGTTTTAAATGTAAGTAGGCTGCAGACTTTCTGGCTTTAAACAAAAAAAAACACGGATAAACATTTGTCGGTGTCAAAAACACAAAATCGGTTAAAAGCCAAAAACATCGAGAGAAAACCTTTGGCGTGAAAATACAAAACCGATTGAAACAGAAAGGCTCAAATTTCTGGAAATTTTCTCTCCACCCAGGGGTGCTTTGTTGAAACCCTCTGCCGTTAGACTTAAATTCTTGATTTTCCATTTGTGTTTTCTACATTTAATCACCTTTTCAGGTGTCCTCCCGAAAAAAATTTTGACAAAATGCACCGATATTTGAAAACAGGATAAGCGCTGGGAAACGTCCGACGATTTTTTCTATTAATGAACGCCGGAAAAATCTACGGCACAATTAGAAACAACATGCATATCAAGCAACCGTCCCAACAAATGCCCGAGTCCGCCGAGCTAATTGAGGCAATCCTCTGCATCGGCCGAGTCTCTGAGAGGCCAGCTCAAGGCAGGGAAGCTTTACACGTGTGCACCGGTACGAAGCGGCAGTGTTGCCAACTTCCGCGGTCGTTTCTTCCCCGAATTTTATCGAAAAATTTCCTAGATTTTCCTGGATTTTCAGAGAATGTGTTAATTTGCGTCAATATTGAGAATAACGTTATGTGGTAGCTTAAGAAAACATTCCTGTAGTTGGTTGGGCATTAACAGGCTAAATTTGCTCCGTTAAAGCCTTCTTACATAATTAAACTTTGTTACTTTGGCCTTGTGTGGCCCCCCGAAATTGCTGTTGTTACCACTGAAGATTATCTCTGGTCCCCACAATATACAAAGATACCTCTTTATCGCTGCACTCGGCCGGCACGAGTGGGAAAACGGAAAGGAACGTGTCTCTAAAACCCTCTGAAACCCATTAAAAAGCAATGCCAAGATTTGAACAAATTTCCCTTTGCCCCTAAACGATGACGAAACTTCCTAGATCTAGGGAAGACTCCCTAAGGTTGGCAGCATTTTGAAGCGGAAAAGCTTGATGCAAAAGCGCCAATCAAAGGAGGCTTAAAGAGAGGGACGCGACTGCATTAAAGATTAGAGGTTTTGACAGACCCCCAAAATGCTCCCCTTCTGTTCCATGAAATCGAACAAGGGCTTACTCTAGCGCAAACCCCTTCTGCTTGTCTGCTCTCAAACCTAACAAGCGCCAGTGCCCTTTTTTATTTGTGAATATATCTAACTTTTGGGTAGGCGATGGATTACTATTCTACTGTACGCAGTCCTTGTGAAAGGAAGCTTTAAAAAGGTACTGTACGCTGAAAAGGTTATTTTGCTAAACCGCATGGATAATCCTCACAGGATATGCAAGGTCCAATAGAGAAAGGTAACGGCTCTTTAGACCACGTAAATAAACTAAGCTTCGCAGAAACCTAAAACCCCGTGAGAATGTGACGCTAACGGTAATGTTATAATGCGAAAGTTTCAGCAGGTGACGTTACCTGGATCAGACAATACTAAAGAAAAACAAACATTTTCTGTGAGCCGACGCCCACGCAAGCCCAATTTTTGTCAAACGAAATATTTTAGACTTCATGTTCCTTCAGCAATTATGTCGCTGAAAAAAACTAATCGGCATGAAGAAAAGCCGCAATGCCTTTCTAAGTGCCCAGCTTTTTCACTAAAATGAAAGTTACAGGTGCCCACAATCTCAAATTACGGTTATATGAATACTAGCCTTGGTGGACCTCGGCTCATCGATATTTTTTTTTTCTTTTCATCCAGGTACTGTCATGTGATCAAACTCATTTGATCACCACCGCTAGCGTCACATTCTTGAGAAGGTTAAGCTTTCGGCGAGGCCTAGTTCATTCGGGCTTCAAAGCCGGACTCATCTTTCTCGATTGGAACCTATATTTTCACACGGTTTCCCCTCCCCCCTCCTCCCCCCCAATCCAACCCAGACCCAGAAAAAAATACAATTAAAGCAACTTTCAAGTTCCCAGATGCATTTTAGTAAGGAGGAATTTCGTCTGCTGGTTAGTGCTGGCCGATAAATAACTTCATTTATTTATTTATTTATTCATTTATTCATTTGCTTGTTTGTTTGTTTGTTTGTTTATTTATTTATTTTATTTTGAATTGTCCGGACGCCGATTATCTCGGAACTTCTGCTGGCCGCACTCACGTATCGCCGCTTTTCGTGTGAGGTCGCCGTTTCTCCAGCCACTGCTGTACAGGTTTGAATGTGTTCAGTCAGCTTAGTTGTGAATAAGGCGCCGTTCACACTCTTGCAACCGAGTACGACCGAGAGAGACCAGAGCGGTTTTTAAGCCTCTTGCGACCTCTTAGGACCGGATGCGCTGCAGCGGGGCTGGTCCTAAGAGGTCGCAAAAGGCTTAAAAACCGGTCTGGTCTCTCTCGGTCCTACTCGGTTGCAAGAGTGTGAACGGACCTTAAGGTGCAAGCAACAATGGCCACGCCATATGTGATTTCCGCATGTGGGGGAGCCTATTGTTCTTGTAGTTCGACGGTGTGTCTTGTGACGATGTTTTCCCAGGCGTTGTGCACAGTATTAAGTACGGATTTTCTAGTAAAGAAATGTGTCCGAATAGATTAAGAAGTTCAGGGAAGGACGCACAAGTGTCAACCATAAAGAAGGAGCTGGATGGCCATATGCTTCCACGACGAATGATAACATCGATAGTGCATATGAACTGATTCTGTCGGATAGGCGACTGACAGTCGACGACGTGAGATACACTTTGCAAATCAGCCAAGGCTTTGCCTATGCAATAATCAATGGCAGGCTTGGGTTTGGAAAGGTTTTGATCAAAAGAAACGCTACAGCCAGAGTGCGGATAATTTTGTAAACGCACTCGTATATCTAGGTTAATGTCAGTGATGACAAATAGGAGTGACTTGGTCGGCCTCCCCATCAGCTGAACGGTGCGCGGACCAGAGGTACGCCCACAACGTACCTCTTGCTCTAGCAAAGCAATGTAAAAACGGCCTTTTGAGGTAAATAGTGTAAAACCCTTAATATTCGCGAGCCATTAAGTTTCGTAAATTTCGCAAATTCAAAAATTCGCGAAACTTAG